CCCAAAAATTTTCTATTATGTACAGGTGTCCCAATTTCGATGTCCGCATAGGCTATCTCCGAAACTAAAAGAGATAGCTTTAATAAAAGTAGCTTACATGTCATGATTTCGTTTTTCGAGAAAATGTTAATGCCGAAAACTCCGAACAGCTATCGTCTTTTGTTTTCGCAAGAATTCAGAGGCGTAGGTAGAATTTTTTTCCCATCTTTTATTTTCGAGATTTTAGACGTAACTTTATTTTTTTAAATGGAAACCATAGTTGGGTATGACCTAAAATAATTTGCTATTTTCTTCTGATAACAAATATATACAGAGTGTATCTGAATGACTGCAACAAACTTCAAGGGGTGATTCTTTAGTGAAGTTTAAGGGTACTTTGATATATGAACCATGGGCGACTTCGGCTCCCCTAAGGAGCTACACCCCTCCAAAAATGGCGGAAAATTTTGGTTTAATTTTTTTTTCTCGAAAACCATAAACGCTAGGAAAATGAAATTTAGGGAATATGTTTAACTCACACGTTTTGATGCTATTTGTACTTTCAACCTACCCTTCTAAACTACTAAACGCCTTTCAATTTATGCCTAGATTTTTTTTATGAAGATGATAAATACATTGGAAAATTTTCAGTTAGATAGGTAAAACTATTCTAAAGCCTCCTCCACACTCTCGCGGAGTAACTTCGACGAGTAACCTTGTCGAAGTTGCTCAGAACGAGCAGCTCGTATCCACATTCTCGCGGGTCTTCACGAGCTCTTCAGTACTATGACTGACACCGAACTGGTTACAGCAGCTACTGCTGCTATTTGTGTGTATAATTTTTATAATTATGTAGACATTTATTTTAAGAAAAAGATTAACAAATCGTGGAGAAAAAAGAGATGGTGGATGTTGCCGATACATAAGAATAGAACGAGGTAGGTACGATTAATTTTTTGTATGATTCAAAAATAATATCAAAAGTCAATGTATATAATTTATTTTTTGTAGGGATTGGATGAAGAGACAAACTACTGAAGTACTTAATGAATCTTCATCAGGAGAATTCGAAAACTTTCATAGGATGTCTCCTCAAGATTTTGAATATCTTCTGCTTCAAACTGCTCTTTTAATTTCTAAGGAAGACACGCAATTAAGGGATGCAATACCAGCGAAGGTTCGGCTAGCCATAACCTTATGGTTTTTAGCTACCGGTGATTCATATAAAAGCCTTCACTTACTATTCAAAGCGTCTAATCAATCTATATCCAAAATTATGCCGGAAGTCTGTTCAGCTCTCAACCATGTTCTTAAGGATGAATGTAAGATAAATAAATAAGTAAAATAAGGAAAATATCACAAAATAAATACATTTTAAAACACTTTAATGACATGAAATTGTCACATGTTAAATGCGTATGAAAAGTAATATAAAAAGGAACTAAGAGTTTTGAAATGCTTCATTGATTACATTCCATAATGAATTTTGGGCGTTTTCATACTGCAAATTGGTACATTGTTGAAAAGAATGGGCGGATTCGTAAGCATCATACTATGTACTGAAAATGGAGAAGTGAGTGATGAGGAAGAGGAGTTAACTGAATATGGGCGACGACGTTGCACATTTCTGTTGTGAAATATTTGTTGTATTTCAAACATGATGTCTTCTTTATCATCTTCCGATAGTTTTTTTTAACTTTTTTGCAACAAGTTTGTCGAATACGTCACATTCATCTTCAGATTCACTTTTCTTATTTATTACAGTGTGTAGGGTATCAAATGCAGTTTTCAATTGTTTAGCTGCATCCTGAAGCTTTGGTGGATCCGCCCGACGTCGAATGGTTTTTCCTGTACTTTTCCTTACTTTATCCTGTTGAATTTCCACTACATCGTTACCATTGTCTATTGGCTGTTCTGTTTCATCAACGGCTTCAGAAATAGAGTGTATCTGAAAATAATAAGCATAATGATTTATTAATGCAATTTATATCTATGTTTCAGCTACCGTCTACAGCGCAGCAATGGTTAAAGCTAGAGAAGGGTTTTAAAGGCAAGTTTCTACATGCAATCGGCGCAATAGATATCAAACATGTAGTAGTGCGATGTCCACCTAACTCAGCATCAGATTACCACAATTACAAGAGATTTTTAGTATTGTTCTTCTTGCTTTGGTCGATAGTGACTACGGCTTTATTTTTGCTGATATCGGAGCAAACGAGAGAATAAGTGACGGTGGTGTGTTCAGAAATTCTTTGCTGTGGAAAAAAATTAGCACAGAAGATTTAAATTTTCCTGCTCCTTGTCCTCTGCCAGGTACTGAAGGTCCAAATGTACCGTACGTTTTTCTAGGCGAAAGCACCATGCTTTTGCATTGGGTACAAATTTGATGAAACCTTATCCTGGAAATTATGGAAAAGGTACACCAAACCAAGGTATATTTAATTACAAGTTGTCCAGTTGTAGAGTTTATGTAGAAAATTAATTTGGAATTTTAGCTTCAAAATTCAGAATTTTCAATAAACCGCTTGAAATAAATATTAAATCAGCACCAAATGTTGTGAAAACTTGTGTACTCTTACACAATTTTGGGTAATCCCCTGGTACGACAGATATGTATGATGATAATGGCATACTGGTGCAAAGTGGCTCGTGGAGGCAAGAGGTAGGTGAAAATTGTGCTATAAGGAATTTACCACCGTTAGGACGGCGAACAACCCCATCGTGTGTGAAAATACTGGACACTATTCGTGATTACTTTTATTCGGAGTATGACGTCTAGCTTGTTTTTGATAAAGTATATATGATTTCATAGTATTATTGCTAATAAACTAAATTCATTAAAAAGGGATTGATATTTTATACTTACTTCCTCTGTATTAGTTGTTCCTCCACAGTTGTAAATAGAGCCCAAAAATTGGTCCATTAGCTCGAAGGCAAACCATATTGGTTTATATACATCTCCGGACGCTCCAGATTTCATAGAAGCTGCTACTTTTCTACAGTATCCCCGATACGTTGCCATTAAAGAATCCTTTTTAGCCTTTAATTCTTTATTGGCTTGCCAATCTCTAAATTTTTTTTTATCCTTGTGTGAACAATGTTTTGGATGCCAAATCATTGATTTCCTTTGATAACATTCAAGGAACAGCAATTGCAGTTCTTGGACCCACACACTCATTATTTGTTATTATTTATTATATATTGTTGTTTTTATATACACGTTTCTAACGAAGAAAATACTTACTTAATACGCTGAATACTAAATATGAACTAACGATGAAACACGAGAGTGTGGAGTTGTACCTCGTCTTTCCTCGTACTCGTACCTCGTGTCCCTTTCTCTCGTGTACACAATACCGCCTCAGAAGCAAAGTTAGACGAAGCGAGTAGAAGTAGCACGAGGTAGGTCGAGCAATACCTCCACACTCTCGTTCCTCGGTCTACTCCGTCCTACCTAGCGAGAGTCTGGAGAGGGCTTTAGATTATTATTTGTGTCTTGGGTACAAAATTTTGAAAGACAGAATTTTTTTAAAAAACATAATATTTTCGGACGAAGCATCGTTCACCACTAATGGAGTGGTTACATCACAAAATTGTCGATTCTGGTCAAAGACTAATCCACATTATCGCATAACTTGTACACGCTAGTATTCCCAGAAAGTGAATGCGTGGTGTGCTGTTTCGTGGGACGGTGTTATTGGACCTCACTTTATAAACGGCAATTTGAATCAACACCGATATGTGGAAATACTAGAAAATTATTTATTTCATTATCTTCACGGCGTGGATTTAGAAAAACGCAATAAATTATATTTTCAACAAGATGGTTGCGGCCCACATTCGACCATTTTAATTAGAAATTATTTAAATACGTTATTTCGAAAAAAATGGATTGGTAGGTATGATCCGCAACCATAGCCTCCAAGAAGTCCGGATTTATTTATTTTTGAGGTTATGTAAAATAAAAAGTGTACACTGAAAATTTTAATAACAATTTAGACCGTTTAAAAGAAAAAAATTGAAACTGTTAGATCGAAAATGTTTTGTTAATCTTATCTAAATTAATAAAATTCGGCATACCGCTGTAATTTAACATAACAAACATTTTATTTTAATCAACTTTTGTTGTACCATGCTCAGAAAGGCCACTTTACCTGCAACAGTTAACAAACTTCTTGCGTTAACTTTGGTACTTTGAGGACATTTGACGTAAAACTTGGTTATATTTCGTTTTATGGCATCCAGACTTTAATTGCAAAAGATGGAATTTGAATTCAAAAATGTATCGTCAATGTAACGATCGTTTAAAATTTCGACCAATAACGTAATTTTTTAAGTGGATAAAAGTTACCTAGGTTTTTCAACTGAATAAATCACACGTGATATAACTGATTTTATCATAAGTATCATAACTGATAAAAACGCGACTACCATATACAGGGTGTATCTGAATGACATGTCCAAACTTCAGGGGGTGATTCTTTAGGCAATTTTAAGGTTACTTTGATATATAAACCATGGGCGACTTGGGCTCCCCTAAGGAGCTACACCCCTCCAAAAATGGCGGAAAATTTTGGTTTAATTTTTTTTTCTCAAAAACCATAAACGGTAGGACAACGAAATTTGGGGAATATGTTTAACTGGTAGTAGGGCACGTTTTCACCCTATTTGTACTTTCAACCTATCCTTCTAAACTACTAAACGTAACAACCCCTTTTACATTTTTGCTAAAATTTTTTTATGCAGAGGGTAAATACATTAAAAAAAAATTACTTAGGTAGATGAAAGTATCCTAAAACTTTTTTGTCTCTCTAAAATTTTTCCAAAAACGACTAATTTTTGAGAAAAAAAATAATAAAGCAAACACTGCCCGTTCAACAACGGGGTTGTCAATCAAAAGTTGGAATGAATTTTATTGAAAAAATCTTAGTAGGCTTTGCAATCTTTGTTAGAAATATTTTTGACGTTTAAATGTCAGTGGTTTTCTTACTATTATTATTGTCTTTTAAAATAATTTATGAATAAAGTTCTACCGCATTTACGCTCGTTCACTCGACGTTTCAAAATTTTAAATAAAACAATAATAATAGTAAGAAAACCACTGACATTTAACCGTCAAAAATATTTCTGACAAAGATTGCTAAGCCTGCTAAGATTTTTTCTTTAAAAATTCATTCCAACTTTCGATTAACAACGCTACAGCTTAACAGTTAGTGTTTGCTTAATTAATTTTTTTCTCAGAAACTATTAACTTTTCGAAGAACATCAGAGAGGCAAAAAAGTTTTAGAATATTTTCGTCTATCTAAATAAAATATTTCCAATGTATTTATCATCGTCATAAAAAAGATCTAGACAAAAATTGAACGGGGGTGGTTATGTTTAGTAACTTAGAAGGGAAGATTGAAAGTACAAATAGGCTCGAAACATGCCCTATTATAAGCTAAACATATTTCCCAAATTTCATTTTCTTGGTGTTAATGGTTTTCGGGAAAAATAAAATAAACCAAAATTTTTCGCCATTTTTGAAGGGGCGTAGCTCCGCAGGGGAGTCGAAATCGCTGATAATTTATATGAGAAAGTACCCTTAAAATTGCCTAAAGAATCACCCCCTGAAGTTTGGGCACGTCATTCAGATACACCTGTATATGCTTTTGTTTACCTGTCACATTTTTGACAACTATAATTAAGTCAAAAATAGTTAATAAATAATTAAAAATTGTCGATAAATTGTGCAATTGTCGTGTATTAATCTCCCTAAAATACGCTCGAGCTTGATTTTAAATCAGAATAATTTTATTTTTAATTCACTCAAGTTTTGTTACCCTTTGGAAATAACTCGAAATCAAAAGCATGATAAAATCGCGACAGCTTTAGCTGGAGCGACTTTATCTTTTCTGTAAAAATAAAATTATCCAATTAAAAGTCAAGCTCTTGTGTATTTACCCCCGATAAATTGATTCATTTGTCTAATAATTATGTAATAATATTGATTGTGTTTCCATTTGTTATTAAATCTTTTTTGTAATTGCTTATGGCAATAAATGTTCATGTTCATGTTAATTTCCGGCGAAACCCCCATTTGTAAAATGAAAACTTAAATATTTTCATCATAACTCCACTACTACCAGTAGATTTAATTTCTGGGAACCCCTCATTTTTGTTAATCTAATTTAAAAAAATTTAGATATGGTTTAAATATTAAATAAAAAAAACGAGATTTAAAAATAAGTTATTTTTATTTAATGCATTAAAAAATATTAATTCAAAGTTTAAATATTTACATCCTAAAAATAATAACATTACAGATTTCATCGTTGTTAGTAGCGTAGCTCCATCTTTATGTCAACCACTCTACTAGCAACTTATTATGATTATGAAAACAAGTCTCAGGGATAAAAAATAATCAAAGTGTGAAGTAACGAGAGTAATGAGTACTCATGTAACGAATAGTTACTTTTCTGATATCTTTACTACAAATGACATCACACGGAGAGACATGGAAAATGATGGAGGAAGCATACTTCCAGAAGTGAATAAAGACAGGCTGAAGTAAAAACATTCTCCAAGTATCTTTATGAACAAATAATTAGTTATAATAATAAAAATACATATATCAACGATTAAAAATAATTTATTAATTTAAATGATTGATTTATAAGGAATTTTGAAAGATTATTTTGGTTGAAGATGACTGGATACTTGTGATATTCTTTAATAGATGGCGTTATATTAACAAAAACCAAATTTATTAATATCTATTAGAACAAATTCTTAATTTTCTCTCTTTCAATTAATTATTAGTTTTAAAACAATAATTACTACATATTTAGTGTTTTATCTACAACAATAAGTCAATAAAGAACAAATAGGAGTGCATGTGAATTTTCTTTGTCGATTGACTTTTACATGCCCTGAAATTATTGCATCATTCGCTTTAAAAATTAATTAAAACATTTTAGAAGAAAAAAAATCATAAAGTGATTCAAATGGATGAAGCAAAATCGAAAAATCCTCAGATAAATCGTAAGTTATCCGAAGAAATTTTGTTGTAACGCAACATAACCTCACTTAATTTTGGATATAACCTCTAAAAATATGTTAAATGAATTTAATCTTGTAGCTGAAAAAAAGGTTGGAGCGGATGGTTTATCAAAAAAAGAACGAAGAGCATTAAAAGTTGCACAAAAAAATGTTAACGGTGATGTCATTAACGTTAACCAAGACACGAATAATATAAAAGTTAAAGTTACGGAAAATGAAACAGGTCCCAGTAAAGCCCAATTAAAAGCCGAGAGGCGAGCTTTACAAGAAAAACAACGACAATTAAAAGAAGAGGCTAAGAATGTTAAAAGTAATTTAAAGGAAACGCCAAAAAAGCCTCAAAATGAGACATCCGACAATAAAGAAAAAAACAAGTCTGACAAAGATATTACAAAAAAAGATATAATAAAAAAGGATATAAAAAAAGAATCAACTAAAAAACCAACTACAAAACAAATCGAATTAAATCAAATTAATACCGATTTAGATCAAGATCAAGTTTATCTTTTCAATCATCTCCGATTTAAAAGTTTTCTCGATGAGGAAAAATTAAAAAAAAATTGTTGCGTTGAAGATGGAGTTCACCCAACGTTTATTCGGTTGGGTGTAAAATATCGCGAAAAAATAATTTGTGGTTCAAATTCGCGCGGTTTAGGTTTTTTGGCCGCGTTAAAAGATTTAATTCGTGATTACGAGCCTTCAATGAATGTGGAATTTTGTCGAGGTCTCGAAAACGTATTAAAACTCCAATTGGATTATTTGCACAAATGTCGACCCGTGTCCGTTTCAATTACAAATGCTAATAGACATTTTAAAACTGTTTTAAATGAAATGCAAACGAACGATGTTTATTCCATTGACGAAAAGAAGGATTATTTAATAAAGTTTATTGAAATGTATGTTAAAGATGAAATTGAAACTGCGGGACAGGCGATTAGTTTGACCACGCAAGAAAAAATATGTAATGGGGATGTTATTATTACTTATGGATGGTGAGTTATTAACGTTAATGTTTAGTAAGTTAAGGGGTTATATCTAGTCAGGAAGTTGAAATCTTAAAATCTGTTGGGTATTTTTATTTTATCAATTTTTTATCAATACACTGCACAAAAAACTTAGAGGAACACTTTTTAAGAAATCTGTAACTTTTTAAGTAATAGTTTAGGCAAATCAAATTTGGTTTACTTCAAGGGCATATACAGCGTGTCTCAGCGAGACCGTTCATTAGACGTTTATGGGGTTATGGCCAAAATAAAAATATGAAAATTCAGATTTAGGTATAATCAATATACTGGAAGTCGCCACCTACTTAATTTTTTTAAATGGAACACCCTATACAGGGTGTCTCACGTAACTGGTTCGTTAGAACTTTTTAGGTTCCAGTATTCGTACAGTTTTGAAATTTTGGCAGTATGGGTTGTTCAGTCGGAACTTTCGATCTAAAATATTTTCAAGATGGCTGCCACTTCCGGTCTACCGGAAGTAGACCATAACTTCGTTATTTTAAATGGAATGCTATAGTTTTTATTGCACCTTTTAATTATACGTAAAAAAATATGTTGACTTTCATAAAAGTTATTGGTACCTAGCGTTTTTCGTTTCCGAGTTATTTTGATTTTAAGGTTTTTTTGGCAAATTTCACCATGCTCTTTAACCTTTTGGCAGGCGCGCCTATTTTTATTACACGAGCAGGCGCGTAGTGTACAATGTATACATAGGAAAATTTCTTCTTTTGGGGGAAATTTACATGTTAATTCACAAAAAAAAACAATACAGAGAATACACGACACTTTATTGTTATATTTTATGTGTTTACAATAACATAATAACATAATGAACAACTAATAAATCAATTATGAGTCAGAGTCTGAATGCATTTCACAAGTCGAGCAAGTTATCATAGTTTTTGAGTGTTTTTTACATATGAATTGCTTACATTTACAACATTTTTGTGTAGTATTTGTATTTGTACACAATTTACACCTCCCTCGTTTTTTAGATTGAGTTGGTTGTGTTTCCGACGTCCCGCACTCAGCGCCCATGTAGGATATTTGCAAAAACGCTCGAATATCCTTTGGCAGCGAAATTATTTGAGCTCTCATAATTAGTTGCTCTTTCATTAAAGCAATTGCTAAATTACTTAAGAAAATTCTTCGACGACACTGATTTCCCGTAGAATGTTTTGTAAAATACAATATTTGCGAGTTTATTCCCGCTATATTTAGCAGCGTAAAAAACAGGGCTAATGGCCATCGTCTAGTGACCCTCGAAATAGAGTAGGCAGCGCACATCTTATCAACCGTATCTACTGCTCCTTTTGTTTGATTATAACTTAAAATTATTTCGGGTTTATGAGATTCTTCGTCAACTTCCGGTAAGTCGTGCATCGTTGATAATAATATAACGGCTTTGTTTTTTCTTGGGACATAAGAGACTAATGCAGTATCTTGTTGAAAGCCAAATAAAGATGATTGAGGTTGACGATTTTTATTTGGCAAAAACTCCGGAGGAATTTCACGTTTGTTTTTACGTAATGTTCCGATGAATGTAATTTTTTTTTCTAGAAGATATTTAGCTAAGGTTAAGCTACTATACCAATTGTCCGTCGTTAGATTTCTACCAGAATTTTCAATTGGTGTTATTAACCGTTTCACAATGTCGATGGGTGAATTGGAAACTTTATAAATTCCATTTGGTTGTTGCCCACAATAAACTTCAAAGTTGCTGGTATAAAAAGATTTGGCATCGCACATGGCAAAAATTTTTATACCGTATTTAGCAGGTTTGCTTGGTATATATTGCACAAAACTACATCTACCTCTAAACGAGTGCAACATTTCGTCAATGGTTACATATTCGCTAACGTTATAACTGTTTTTACAATTATTGACAAAGGAATCAAGGATTGATCTGATTGGAGCCAACTTATCCGTTTTCTTCCTTTCATTCCTTGTTGATTTATCATCAAAACGAAGACTTCTCAACAGAAATAAAAATCGTTTGGAACCCATTACTGCTCGGAGAATTTGAATGCCGGTGCCATCACTATTCCACAGATCCATCACGTTTACATGAGATCCTTTCTTCGTACCAATCAAGAAAAGAGTTCCAAATAAAGCTAATATTTCGCAAATTGTTGTATTTTGGCAGTCTCGTTCCCTCGAATATGAAATCGTATTACGTTTGGATTCGATGTATTTATTTGTATATCGGACAATATCGTTGATTATGTTTGGAGTAATAATTGCTTGAAATGCACTTATTTCGTCGGTAATGTTCCGTGTTTTTGTTGTAAGTCCAGGTAGAACTTTTACGATATTTTTACCCCTAATTTTCGAAGGTCGCTTATTAGGATTTTTATACCATTTCAATGATTCGTCATCTTGTTGGTTTACCTCAGACTTGCTCGCCGAACTTGTCTTTTTTATTACTTTCGGTTTTCCTCTTCCTAGAAAAAAGTCACCACTACTTGTGTGTGCTTCCTCTGTTTCATTGGCGCTCTGCTCTGAGTCACTATCATGTTCACTTTGCACAATTTCTTCTTCTTCATCGGATATATCGCTATCGTCGATACTTTCCTTAGGTTCCTCTTCCAAAAAATCTAACAAGCCATCTCTCAAATTATCATTTCCTGACATTCTGAATAAAAATAAAGAGATCATTCAGGTAAAAATTAACTAAATAAATCCTAAGTTTTCAGCGTTAATTTCGTGTTTTAAAAATAAAGATTTCAAAATATTAACCTACCTTAATTAATTAACAATAACACGAACAGGCGCGTACGTGTATTTTGTACACAAACTCACTTAATCTCACTAATTTATTTTTTTTTGTAATTTCTAAGCCTCTCAAAAAATTTTCAACCGTAGCCTTCAAAAGACAAATTAACTCTAAAGGAATACCTGCTAAAGAAAGGTTTATTTCTCCGGAAATTACGTCATTCTACCCCTTAAACACAATTGTGTGTACTTTGTACACAAGCGCGCCCGCCGGAAGGTTAAAACCCTATATCCCAGCTAATGTTCATTCAAAAAAGCTCTAAATTGGCACGATTACTCGTCAGATGCTCTCAAATAGATTGTCATATATTGTATCACAGTATCTTACACAGGCTGGTCAAAAATTGAATTACCGTTTCTCCATATTCAATGGGGAGAAAGTCGAAAATTTTAAATGGAACGCCCCATATTTAATTAGCCTACACGAAAGGGAATTTAATTCTCTACAATTTATCTATAAACATTCCTATACTTATTTATTGTAGTTTCTCTCATATTCGTAAATTTAACAAAACATGCAGAAAATGCAGGAAACCGTTTGTATTTTTATTAGAAGGCCATGACATTTTGACAGTTTTTTGTTTAATTTATTTCTATTATTATTTGTACTATTAACTACAATTGATAATCTTTTAGTTTACTAGCTTTTACTTACCAAAAATAACAAACAGAAGATCAAATAAATGAAACTATTAAAACAAAAAGTTAATGACAAAAATTAGATTTGAATAAAAATATAAATTTATAATATAAATTTGTTATTAAATTGAATTTGGAAATGCAATAAAATACGTTAAATTATTTATTTCGTTGTCTTCATCACTGGTGACCGGAAATATGCGATTTCTTTTGGTCTCGATATATCCAGAACTAATAAATTCTTTATCAATTTTTTGAAATTTTTCCTCGTGATGGGCGTTAGGTTTGTTAGGCATCTCTCATTAAGTGTTCGACACGTCTTGTGCGAAAGTTTATTACATTCGCCATCAATACAAAATAAATTTCAAATATCGGCG